TATATATATATATATATATATATTATATATTATATATATCAATTCGATCTCCTTACTCTTACTTCGTGATATAATGCATCAATACTATCTTCAGTTTACGTTAAACGTTCAGTGTAGGAGGACTCGTTTTTTGATAATCTTCGAGAAATAATGTCAGATAAAAATTTCAAAATGACTTTATTACTTAAATTTAATAAGTTTTTGTAAACAAAATATATATAATAAATATGTATCTGTCGACAAAAAATATATATCTGTAGAAATATATCGATAAATAGATATATTTATTTATAAACAAACCAGTGTATCAAAACAATATATGTTTCTATAATTTCTAAAACATACAAAAAGTATATTTCTAAATTAATTATTTAATATGTATGAAGTATATTTCTAAATTAAATGTATAATTTATTATTTTTATTATTTTTGTTATTTGTAAGACTAAAACACTGAACTCAAGAAAAGAAAAATTTAACTTTTAACTTTTTAATTACTGTTTTTTATTAACTTAACTTTTAATCAATTAATTTTATTATGGGTTAACTTGTATCTTAACTAAATTACATTTTCAAGATCTTTAACTTTAACTTAACTTACCCAACCCTTAGTTAAAAAAAAAACTTAACTTACCCAACCTTGTATAAAATAAATTATACATATAAAATGAAGATATTAAGATTTTGTCATGTCTAAGATGTATTTTGTGTCTTTTCGACCGTTGAAATTAAGTGCCTGAGAAACGGCTTCTTTATAGTCGCAGAAAGGCACTAGTTTATGAACTGGCGAGCACAATTTCTTATCTCTAAAGAGAGCCGCTAACTCCTTAAACATATCCGTTCTCTCCTGAGATTTCAGGTTTGCATTTGTCCAGGCTGTCATCCAGAATCCCTTCAACGATATATCCTGTGAACATTTAGTTTATTTTATATTTTAGTATCAATTACACCTTTCGTATGTAAATGTAATGTTCTAAATATAGAAAGAGCGATTTAGTTATTACTTTAAAAATAAGCGCAGATACTGGTACGGTTATCGGTTCTCTAGACATGGCACCGTAAGTCACCATAACACCACCATGAGCGAGGTGCCTCATTATTTCTACTGCACTTTGCCCACAGACACAATTAAGAGCTAATTTAGGCTCAGATAATTGTTTGTTTTTGAATAGCTGTGTAGTCCGAACTTCACTCTCTACCAACACTTCATCAGCACCCAATCTTACCAGTCTATCCTAAGTAATTTGTAACATATCATATATTTATTCATATATACATATACAGGGTGTCCCAGAATTGACGTACAGTCTCTCGTAGGCAGGTAGAAGGAGTAAAACTGAGTCGAAAAGTCCTGAACCATTTTTTTCTATTACTTATAATATAAAAGAGTAATTATTGAGTAAATCAGGCCAATCAGCGCCGACCTTTAGCCAAGCGCACGTCAGTGAGCCGCGCGCCTGGTGTGTGTGAGCGCTTCGCGCAATAAAAATTAAGAGTTGCCATTTAAAAAATTCAAGTTGACCTTAACATGACCTTCAAGACGCCACTCAAGGTCAGTCGCATATGCCAATGTAACGCATTACTTGTTCCACAACAACTTTGTCTAAAACATTTTTCAAAATAACCATTTTCGTTGTTTTCAAGCGAGTGGCATGTGTAGTCTGAGACACTCTGTATATATTATTTTATATATACATGTTGATCTCTGCAACATTTGAAATAACGTACTTTTAATTCCTGTATATTTGGCCTATCTCTAACCACACTGACAGACTTGTAATTCCATATTTTGCACAATTGTATGACCAGTTGGCCAACTGCGGAATTACCACCGTTTTGTATCACAGTATCTCCCGGCTTCAGAGAAACAAAATCCTTCAGCATTCTATACGCCGTACATGGATTTACATTCAGCATACTAGCTTTGACTAAATCCAAATCACTGGGAATCTGTGAAATTAAACTAACAAATAATACACGCAGCATATAACACTTAATCTATTAATGTTAAACGTGTCAACATGCGTACTTTCATGACATTCTCAGAGTTGTAATTAGCTTGTGTTCTCCAGGTTCCAAAATTGGGTCCATTTGGAACCACTCTGTCTCCGACACAAAAATCTTTTACGTTGGAGCCAATCGCTATTATTTCACCGACACCTTCATTTCCTGCTATTGCCGGCAATGCCGGCCTGCTAGGGTATTTTCCTTGTATCGTGTTTATATCGGCTGGATTTATCGGGGCCAATAACCATTTTACAGATACCTGCGTCGTAAACAATCGCCTTTTATTTTACGTAACAACGAAAATAATCAATAATAAAAGTTATAATTGATACCTGATCGCTCGCTGGCTGTTCAATTTCTTGTGTAGTTACTTGAAGAACATCGGCGGGTTCGCCGTACTCTTTGTACATCAGAGATTTCACACAATTGATGCTAGTTGTCATACTGATTTGTCGAATGTTCATTAACTTGCTTTTAATCGATGTTGAGATCGGTAAAATTAATCCCATAAACATAATCTAACGTAATATCTTATCTCTTGAACTCAGAAAGGCCAAACTCTCCTTGTTTAAAATGGCGACGGAGTTTCACCTTGGTGGTCCTCGTGTCCAGGCAGTGCCAGGCGACAGCACGATCGATCTCTTCCTCTGCCTCTCCTTTCCTCTTGTCTAGAAGTGCATCAGCCATAAAAATACCTTTTCATACAACGGCTGTGTTTCAAAATTTACTGCCAGCGCTAAAGATCTATAGTTTAAGTCACATATATTATACAATTTTAGCACTGGCAGCGTGCTGGCAGCAATTCTGGAACACAACTAACAGCACGCTGCGGCAGCAAAACGTCACGTGACTCAAATTTTCCAGAACTGCTTCCGCTAGGTATACTATATTTGCTGCTCTTACCTAACTCTCATTCAATGTCATTCTTTGTTGTTGATGGAATTATATAGTTATTGCATAAGTATAACAACAATAAAATTTTCCCGGTTTTGCTGCTTTTTAAACCGCGCGGAGCGCTCACACACACACACACCAGGCGCGTAGCTCACTGACGTGCGCCTGACTAAAGGTCGGCGCTGATTGGCCTGATTTACTCAATAATTACTCCTTTATTATAAATAATAGAAAAAAATGGTTCAGGACTTTTCGACTCAGTTTTACTCCTTCTACCTGCCTACGAAAGATGTCACACCAATTCTGGGACACCCTGTATATATATATATATATATTTGATCCGAGGTCCGACAAAAAATTTTTATATGTGAATCTCAACAAATTCAGTCTTTTATCTTTAAATATCTTTGAATAGAAGACATAGAAAAAGAAAATCATATACTGTTTTCTCAATTTTTTCAACCCATCACCGATTGAGATTAAAAAAAGTCGATCAGTCCAGTCATTACTGAGATATAAATATTTCATGAATGTCAAAATTATTACTCATTTTCGCGTAATAAAGGCACGGAGTGTTTACACCGTTTTCGCGCAACTTCATTGCGCTTGAACTTGACGTGAGGCACTACCGTGTCTCTTGACATAGTGAGTAAATTCACATAATTTTTATGCAGCTGTACAATTTAACAAGAAAAATACCATTTTAATTTTAAATATTTTCTTTTACAAGAGTTTAAATAAATAAAAAGAACACTCACAATTAGTGTAATATTATTCAATTTTTATTTATTTAAATAAGCACATCAGTATATAATTAATACTATATAATACCTATAATACTATGATATGAAATCCACAGTATAAAAGAGTAAATGTTAGAAATTGGATTCTATATTTATATGTAATATATATATATACATATATATATATATATATGAAACATTAAGACATATTTACACTGTTTTAGATCCGCTTAGTCATCAGTTTGAAAAAATATTGTTTTTAAAGACTCTCTTATACAGTACGTTTGTTTTATCACAGTAATAAATTTTAATATTTACAATATTAAATTATTTTGGACGTGAAAAAGCGTTCTTTCTAGAGATTTAAAATCAATACTTATTGTTAGTAACACTACTGTGTTAATAAAAGTATCAAAGTGATAGTAGTAACGAGAGATGTATAACAGATTAAGAATAATCGTCTAGTAATCTCTCTTTACATTTAATACGAATGATATTTTTCGTGATCGGTACACTGTAGTTTATAGAAACGCGCAAACATTATGTTTTATACATACAGAGAATGTATACTTTTAGAGAATATATACTTCTAGAGAGAGAATGTATTCTTCTAAAGAGAATGCATACTTCTAATATGTATATTTCTAGAATGTGTACTTCTAGAATAAATGTATACTTTTGGATTAAACGTCTAATCAAGAAGTACTTTATATAAATATTGCAGTGTCTACTCATGTAATTCGTTATAATGTGGTTGACGTGACGGCGCTTACGCCGTGGACCAAAACTGTCGGCGGCAAATCTACAGTTAATTCTGTCAACGATTGCAAATACTGCCGATACATATCATCCTCGTCCCACGTGCTCGAGACCGGTGGCGCAGGTAGATAAATAAACGTTGTCGCGGTTTGGGTAGAATAATGTTTTATCAATTGATTTACGCTAAAAAAAAAATTATTTATTTACAATAAAATTATAAATAAATAATTGTGAAATATATATATATAGCAGTGCAAATATTTTATATTTCACTTGATACTTACCTCAATATATAAGCCCGTGACACATTACTCAAAACATTATTCGATTCGGTACTCGAGTCGTATTGGGTTTTCGGCTCGAGCAAAGATCTACCTTGCAACCCCCGAACTTGCTCTCCCCATTCCGGAATTTTTTTGATCGACGCGGAAATTCTCAACAGATTCAATGATTTTCTTATTCTGTGCTCGTTCGAGATTCTCGGATCGTTTATCGAACTGTGCGACTCTGAGATACTCATGCTCTCACTGCTGTCCGCGATCTCGCAGTGGAACACACGGAGATGCAAGTTTTTCCAGCTTGGGACCATGTTGATGATACACGCGAGTTGAAGCATAAACAGCGACGTTGTATCGAACGGATCTTGATCTGTCGGTTGGAAAAAATTAACCGGCCACACATCGATGTATTTCAAATTTGAATTTCTAGAAAGAAAAATATGTTACCGTGTCGTTAACTGTGATCTTTTTTTTTTAATAAATGTTTTTGTAATAAAATTTCTACTTACTTCGTTAATTGTGATTTGTTCAACAGATGAAAGTTTCTACACAGACACAAGTTCTTTTTCATTCTCAAAACGTCGGAGCACATACCGACGTACTGAATCGGATCCAAATTCTTCTCATCCGAGGAGGTTTGTCTCAAAGGAAAAACAGTATTGTTAGGAAGAGTCGTGATATTCTCGAACATCGGTGTTGCGTATTGAGAATCTAGGAAGAAGTTTCGCGGCGTTTCCTCGTCGTAAAATCCGAGCACAATTGTATTCGGTTTCATCGCCCCCAATCCCGATATCCTGATCAAATGTTGCATGCCTTCGCGCACAGTTTTCGTCACGGTCAATTCGACGAAGGCTTTAACTCTCAAATGATCAACCAAACTCAACCAGTGCGGATACTCTTCGATCGTGGGATCGATGTTCTGACCCGTAAATTCGCCAACCTTTACGTGCCCGATTACATAAAGTCCGCCTTTCTTCAAATCGTTCACGAAATCAATGAGAGGACAGGCGGAACGCGGAGACGCGATCATCAGCAACATTTGGGGACGCCAGAATTTGACGTGATCTTTTCGGGAGTCCAACATCAGCAAATACTTTCTGACTTGATGGAATATCAATGCCTGAGATATACTGCCCCACGGTGCATTTTTACTCGGCGAGAACAAGTGCAACACGATAATCAAAATTAAACACAATATAATGCTGCTGGATGCGTAAATGCTGTTAATTACAAACATCATTATCAGGGTACCGAGAAGACCAATTGTCGCCGTATGCCATGTAAAGTAATTAAATGTCGGTCTGAAAAAAAAAAAAAAAGATTCAGAGAGATCGTATATGTAACAAGTAAAATGATAATTTTTCTGATTAAATTTAGTTGAGGATGTAAGTTTTAAATGGAATACCTAAAATTTGGCGCACTAGCAAGTTCCAACCCAAGACATGCAAGATTGGTAGCGAGATAGCTTAATAGAAATAGTACTGAATTAACCTGCGCGATAGTATTTAACGAGCCGATAAGCAAGATTATCTGAACTAAGGCCCACGAGGTTAAAACTGCTGTTATTGGATTGCCGCGCCACGTGCCTTGTATTATAAAATTCAATCCCGAACCTAAAATATAATATTATCGTTTTAATATTTAATTTCTTATACAAAAAGTATTTAATTTCATGTGTATTAAATTTATATTCTTATCAAATCGCTCACCAAATACATTATCTTTTGCCAATGCTTCCAATACTCTACTGGAACCGATCAAATTGCTCAAACCAGCGCTGAAAGTTGCCGTTAGAATGCCGACAGCGACAAACGGTGGCCATAAATTAATCGACATCATGTACATAAAATTATTTTGCAATAAAAACTGACTGGTGGTGGCTGCTGTCAATAGGGACAGTAAAATGTAACATATAAAAGTGAACAATACCGCGGACAATGTGCCACGTGGAATGTTTCGGCCGGGATTTTTTAATTCGCCTGTAAAATTGTTATATTACAGAATAAGTACATATATACGTATGTATATTAAGTACAAAAGAAATAAATTTCATTATTTACCGCTCATATTAGCCCCGGCCATTATTCCGGTTACACCACTGAACAGCACACCGAAAACGCTGGCAAAATCCGTCAGAGTTCCTCCGCTTGAGTAATCGGCACTGTAGTTCGAGTAGAAATTGCTACGTAACGTAGACAACATAAGACCTGTATAACTTCCATTTATATGTTCCGTTACATTTTGAACCAACGTGTTTGCATCCGGAATTGCAATCTTTATGTATTAAAAAAAAATGTATTTAATATTTTTTAATTACAATATCAAATTATTTTTATTTACATCATCAGATGGTTTTTAAAGTTATATAAATTTACCTCCATTGCACCTTGCGTCAGGAAACTAATAAAAACACTGCTCAAACAGATACAGACAATCGCCAAGATTGCAACGCTAGTTTTTGCAAACATCGCTGCCCCGATGAGACAAACTACGAGATTGGCAGTGTTCAATACGGAGCAATATAAAAATCTCCACCATCGTCCATCCGGTATGAGTCCTGCTTTGCCACTTAGGTAACCAGACGGACCAAAATTTTCAACCAAACCTTCGGCGCATCCAGAAATACAAAGCGCACTGGATACTACATTGGCCATGAAAAAAAGAGTTCCAATAGAACCACCAAATTCAGGCCCTAACGTGCGGCTAATCATAACTATACGGATTAATAGAAAAATATTTGAATTGTTCAGCAAATTTAACTTTGTATAATTGTTTTGGTAGAACAAACTTTTCAGAAATAGAGAATTTTCTCGCTTATTTATATTACACATTATGTCAAATGTATGTATAAGCAAGTCAAAGCAAATTAATCTACTGATAAGCTACTTATCTCAAAGTGATGAGCTGGCGTAGTTAATTTGTTTGACAGAGACCGGAACATAGAACATAAATGAGATTAATTCGGTAGAAAAATGATATAAAATAATATGAGAAGTTTTTGTTTTGCTTTTCATAAGAGAAAGGATACAGTAAGCACCGCCACCTTCTACGGCTCCGTTTGTGGAGATGGCGCAAACAGAGGCTACCGTAAACAACAAAATGCCATACGCTATGACAAATTGAATTAGAGTGATAAGTAATCCAGCATTGCCAACAATGTAACCTGTAAAAAAAATTAATATTTATAAATTAATAAAATCAGCAGATATTTATATTAATTCTTTATAATACGAAAGTCTATAAATTACTCAATAAATTGCTCACCCATTCGTATAAAAACTAAGGCACTGAACATAGACAATGTAACCGGGCTGAATACACCGGCAAAAGTTCCCAATGTACGAGCGCTGTCCACACCGAGACTACCAAATTCAACATAGCCATCTCCTTCGGAATGCGCTGTACTTCTGAACTTGAAAATGTTACTCAATCGTTGAAGCACACCTCTTCCGTTAATCAACGGAGCTTTCTCATTTGTAACTCTGATATGCACAGGCTCCGTGTTTGTTGAGCCAATTTCTGACGCTATCATCTTAAAAATTCTAAAAAAAAAATAATATCAGTATGTAGTTTATTTGCAAAAAACAATTGTAGAAGAAGTAGTTTAAAAATCAATCAATCGCTCGTGAAATAGTCAAAAAACAGTCGAAAGGCCGATACGAGCAGTAAAATACAGGTTGGTCGTGTATAAAAAGTTGTCTTTATTCGATAAATAGACGTTTCGGTCACACAATTTTGGACCTTCTTCAGTATTAAATAATTAAGTCTAACAAGAAAAAACAAAAGAAATAACAATAAATAAAATAAGCGCAACACAAACATCTTAGTAAATTGAAAATAATATAAAAAACTCACTTAATTGAGAAGTAACATTGTAGTACACAACATCACTAACAAATAGATGTCAAAATAATACAATAATATAATGTGTACTGGCGAGAAAACATAAAACAGTCAAATATATATAGATATCCCCACTATCAGATCAGAANATCAAAAGGTTCACAATAAAGTCGAATATCATGTTTACAAATTAAATACAAAAGTAACGGTTTAAACTTTTGATCTATACAATTCTAAAAAGGGAAAGTAAGGTTTTAGCTTATCAGTGTCCGACATTACATTTATCGGATTGTCTTGTAACTTGATGTGGAGCATTTCTGAAACTGATCTTTTATAAAAAAATTTTTCCATATCTAAGATTTTAACGTCATTTCACATAAAGTCACGACCAGTCTCCAAACGATGCTCAGTAACCACAGAAACAAAATCAGAATTTCTATTTATCTGATTTCTATGTTCGCTAATTCTTGTTTTTAATTTACGCTTCGTTTGTCCGACATAAGATATATTACAATTATTACAATTAATTTGATAAACAACATCTTTATTTTGATCGTGAGTTAACCTATCCTTTCCAACTTAGAAGTAGTTTATTTGCAAAAACAATTTAAAAATTCTAAAAAAAAAATAATTTCAGTATGTAGTTTATTTGCAAAAAACAATTGTGGAAGAAGTAGTTTATTTGCAAAAACAATTGTGGAAGAAAAACAACAAAACGATCGAAAAATTATTATCTGATCGTATTTTGCAGCTGCAAAACAACGTACATATATGGGCAACAGCTAACGAGGACTGTCTAAAGCGTTGAATATATTTCGAGAATAAACGTTTCCACATACAACAACGTTTTGAACAACAGAAATAAAATAAAATTTGAAGAGAGAAGCTTTTTCCTATTACTTACTTATTGTATCTCACTTGTACGCATAAGAATATATACAAACGAAAAGTATAATCGAATTAGTCATAGGACTATGATGTCACGAATCAAGTGTCAACACCCCCTCCAAAGTCTAATGTGTGTAAAACGCGGCTCTCAGCAACTTGTTTTTCTTTACTAAGTATTATTAACGCGTCCATCAACCGACTCTCTCACATCGATGCGATGCGAGAGCGCAATTCTTTTTTTCCAAAATTGGTGGTGGTATCCTCCTCCTCCTTTCGGAAAATCACTCTCTCGCCAACTTCTGATTTGAGGTTAATAAAACTTTGTTTTCACGTTACACTTGACGTTCTTGTATATGTTTTTGTTCCGAAGTTAGGCACTTCCGGGTTTTACGATTACGTAGTATATATATATATATATATTTATCAAAATGTTACTCAAATTTGAAGACAAGGCATGTCTAGACGTTAAGTAAAACGCAGACAATCGAAAAACACTTCCTATTTTGTTATCAATACGTCACTTGGCCCAAAAACTATGAAAAAATGTCACCGAATGACACACACGTGACGACGTCTTGACGATTCCAAGTTGAAAATCGTAAATTGCCGTTAGACAGCCAGCTGTAAAACTTTTCTATCTCACATGCGGACGTGTTCAAAGTTGCTTCATTTCGGTTTGACAGTTTTTTTACCAGATGGCGCGTACAGTATAAAGATATAATTATATCTACAGATACAAAGTCACGTAGAAACTGTTAATGTTTGTTTTTTAGCAGTAATCACATTTAATCTTTTTAAAATTTTTGTTTAAAACAATTTGTAGTTTACTCTCGTTATTTAATCACACATATGGAAAGTTCAATAATTGAACAAATTGGCAAAATGAACGACAACGATTGTTTTTGTGTATTCTATTTTTTGCGCATAAAATAATTTGAGAAACTAACAACTGTGTGTGTGCAAATATCCGGAATGAAAAAACTTTGAAGTTTTGTCAAATGTGAATAATGATTAATTAACCGTGTGTTTCAATCGAGTGAACAAAGTCATACGAGCAACGCAGCCCTGTTTTTTGGTGAGTAGTTTAACTACATTTATTAATTTATATATATTTATATATATTTATATATTTTCTCTTAAAATTTTAAGAATTATATTATTGCACCGAAAAAATTATATTCTCGTAAGTAGAAGATTTTATACTTAAAAAATCTTCTTAAAGATTTTAGATGATATTCTTCTGAAATTAAGAATATATTCTTTATTTAAGAATATATTCTTAATTTAAGAATATGGTCTTTTTCGATAGTGAGATATATATGTTTTTCTATAGAGGCTTTTTATATTCTAATCAGTATATATTCTTATCAATATTACTATTTAAAGGATTTTCCTCTTAAAATAAGAAACTCTTCTTGGCGCCTATTTTAGTATAAAATATACTTAAAGTAAGTGGGATATCTCTCCTCAAAACAAGAATACAACTTTTTCGGTGATGGAAAAGAGAGAAACCGCGTTGCAGTAACAAAATAATAATAATTATTGTATAAAAGATTGCGCATATAAAGGAAAAAAATAAATCACCCGAGAAAAAATGGATTAGATCTAATTTAAATCTAACGAGATCAAAAAAATTGGAACAATAAATCTAATTAGATCTAAATTTAATCTAAATAGATGTAAAGTATATATAGATCTAAATAAATATAAAATAAATCTAAATAGATATAAGTAAATCTATGGAAATTTACATACACACATTTTTATTTATTATTAGATCTAGTCTTGATCTACTCAGATCTATTATATATTAGATCACCTCAGATCTGTTTAGATCTGCTCAAATCTAACTAAATCTGAGTAGTTTTAATTATAGTAGATCTAAAGTAGATTTAATAATATATATAAAGGTGTAAATTTTTATATATATATAATATAGATCTGCTTATATTTATTTAGATCTACTTTATATCTATTTAGATTTAATATCTATTTGAATCTAATTAGATCTATTTTCCTATTTTTTTTATCTCGTTAAATTTAAGTTAGATCTAATCCATTTTTTCCCGGACAATATCTTAGAATTTTCTATTTTTATCTTGCATTTTTCTTTTTTAATGTTTTTTTTATTGTATATATGCAAAGTTAATAATTAAACATATATTCGTCATAATCGAAATAATTCAAATCCTCGCCGGGAACCTCTTCTTTTTTCCACTCGGAAAGAGTTTCTTCAACTTTCTATGTCGCCAAAAAAATAATATATATTCTTATTGTTTCTTAAAATAATATAAAACAAAAAAAAATCATATTACGATCCAAAAAGACGTCAATAAAACGTGTGAAATGTTACTTCGTACTTTCGGTTTCAGTTTTTCTTGGCTGATAAAAAGTTTCACTTCACGTTCTTTCCGCTGTATACTTAGTTCTTCGCAAACCTAAAACAGAGTTTTTTTTATTCTTCTTTCAAAAATATAAGTAAAAATATTTATTTGAGATTCTTTCATCCTTCTTATTTACTCGCATACATAAATTTCTATATGATTCTTATGTTCGATATAAAAATTCAATTTTTGCGTATTCAGAAATTTGCTGACTTTAAAATGTAGCAGCCAGTGGCCCAGATATTCCACCGGATCGGCCGGTTGCTTTGCTACAATTTCGCGAAGAGCTTGTATCAATGGCTTGCTCAAGACCCTTTTTAAATAGACGCTGTTCGGCGACAAGTGCGCGCTCGACGACGAGCCGCCGGGCAAAGTGGAATTAATAGAATCGCTGCTTTTGCTAACTTGTTCAACAATTTTTGCTTGCCATAAATCACGCAAATTGTCGACGTCGTCATCGGTTAGATCTAAAGTCTTTAAAAGTCTGAAGGAGAACGAGAGAAAGAGAGAGAATTAAAGAGAATTAAAGAGAAAAGAGAAAAGAGAACAAACTCATGTTTATATATCCATATTTATTCTCTTTATGTATTACAATACATCCCAGTAAAAAATTTTTTATGTATAAAATTGCATGGACATATTCGGCATATAAATTTGTATAATTACACCGAAAAAATTGTATTCTTGTTTTGAAGATATCCCACTTACTTTAAGTATATTTTATACTAAAATAGGCGCCAAGAAGAGTTTCTTATTTTAAGAGGAAAATCCTCTAAATAGTAATATTGATAAGAATATATACTGATTAGAATATAAAAATCCTCTATAGAAAAACATGTACATCTCACTATCGAAAAAGACTATATTCTTAAATAAAGAATATATTCTTAATTTTGGAAGAATATCATCTAAAATCTTTAAGAAGATTTTTTAAGTATCAAATCTTCTACTTACGAGAATATAATTTTTTCGGTGTATATATGTAAATTTGCATAATTAGATATAATTATTTTAATTTGTGTATAAGTATGTATGAAAAATTTTTTACCGGGATGTTTTAAATTTTATAATATAAAAAACGAATTTTGTAATATAAAAAACGTGTTGTAATCGTATTCTAGTTATAAGTCAAAATTATATGATTGTTTGAAACAAAGAATATTTGCTATTTTTTGGTTCAGCTAACCTGACATTTTCGTTCGTAAGACCGGTATTGATCAACGTCTTGATAAGAGTTTTGCTTAAACCCTTTTCACGCAGAAACGTCATGATTTTCTTATCCGCATCTTCATCTTCCTCACTCTTTTCTAATTCTTTCGCTTTTTCAATTACTTGCGCGTCTTCCACATCAGAGATTTTCTCTAATTTGTCTTCTTCTTTTTGTTCATACGTTACATATTCCCATTCGTTCGTTACATCTTCATTTTCTTGTTGCTCTTCTAAAATTGCGTTGTCACTCATCATTTCTTCGAACGTCTTCGTTCTTTTCCCACATCTTAAAAAATGCAAATTTCTCTTATCTTTTTTGCTGATATTTTGCGATTTAGATGACAAATGAAGATTTTGACTCGAAGTCAATCAAAATTCTCTATGTCAAAGTTTTATTGTTTTGAGATCTGTTAATTGTTTTTTATTTTCTTTTGCTTTGAACTTCAAGATCAAAAAAATAAAGGCAAAGTTTTGCCTGGAGCTGACGACTGGATTTCTCCTTCTCGCGCGCGCAACGCGCAAAATGTCAAAAAATTTGCGTGGGTTAATTCGCCGCAAGACCTTCGCCGTGTTTAACGACGGACGAATGGATCTTCCTGCACTTACAAATTTACATAGTTACCAGGCTATTTGTGCGTATTATATGTATATACGCACCCGTCATGGAGAGAATCATGAAATCGTATTCGTGCCGCGAGTACATGTACAGTCTCGTTTTCTGTGACCGCAGTTATATCAGAATTAGCGCAATATGTCGCCACGCGTCTCCGCGCGGCTATTTTGTGCAATAATTTGTGCACGCGGTATATTGTTTTTTTATTTTTTTTTTTGTGTGTGTACTTTTCGATCTGCTGCAATTTTTCACGCGCAATATACTAAGCGTTTCTTATTTTAGACGAACGTCGTTTAATCAAGCCGCTTTCAAGATCGTATGTAACAATATCGCGCATTATCGCGCTTTTTAGAACACGCGGTCAAGATTTGTGTGTCTTTTTCTCTTTCCAAATATAAATATATACAATAGCAACTTTACTGCGGAGAATAATGCGAAGTATTACTTAAGTGATGTTAAATAAACAAATCGCAAAATAACACAAAACATAAGAGAGTTTTTTAGAACACATCTTTGAAATTCTAAATATATATGTGTGTCGCGTTCGATAAAACTGATATTTATAATTATAATTATATTTATAATAATAAATAAATAATAATAATTTATATTATATATAAATATTATATATAATATAAATATATATATATATATATATGTGT